CTTAGAGTGTTCACTTTTCCTCTTCTTCTCACATAACCTTCCCTCTCTGCTAATAAACCTTTAGCATCTTTAACTCTATCTCAGTATTTAGTTCCTGTAGAGAAAATGTGATAGTTCATTATCTTATGCCAGGTCTTAACTTCCTTTAAATAATGATAGTACAGAAGTTTGAGAAATGTGAATAGTAATAAAACAGTGTTTGACAACAGGTAGTTTCTAGCCTGGAACAATTTTCAACACCCACGAATATTTTCATGGAGTTAAAAAAGATTAACTACTAGGTACACAAAGCATATAACTACATGATCTAGAAACAGGTGTCAAGGATTTGATCCTATTCTACTCAATTGTAAAAAAATTATTCTTGTTGCTTTACATGCCTTATAAGTATTCTTAATTTTTTCTTTGCACTCTGCCGAGGGTTTGGTTATGAGTCTTAGTGTCTGCTTTGAAACACTGCTAGTTAATCATATGAAAGAAGGGGAGTTAGTATGATATGGAAAGGATAGGAGCTCTACAAGGACCAAATATATACGGGCACAGGGTCTTTTCTGAGACTGACACTCAACCAAGGACCATCTATGGATATAACCTAGAACTTCTGCTCGGATGTGGCCCGTGGTAGCTCAGTAACCAAGTAGTTTTCCAAAGTAAGGGGAACAAGGACTATTTCTAACAGGATCTCATGGGAAGGCTCTTTGACCTCCCCACCCCCCCCCCAGGGGAGGAGCAGTCCTGTTAGGCCACAGAGGAGGACTTTGCAGCCAGCCCTGAAGATACCTGATAAAACAGGGTCAAATGAAAGGGGAGGAGGTCCTCCCCTATCAGTGGACGTGGAAAGGGGCAGGGAAGAGACCAGGGAGGGAATGTGGGGTTAGGGAGGGAATGAAGGAGCGGGATACAGCTGGGACACAGAGTTAACAAAATGTAACTAAAAAGAAAAATAAAATTTTAAAAAAAATTTTCTTTGCAATGTGAAACAACTTGGACTTCCTATTTCTAAGCATATTATATAAAATTAATTTTAAAATAAATGGCTATAACCTCAGTCTATGAAAACCATGACGTGTGGGGGAACTAGATGATCACAGCATTTCCAACTAACATGACTATTCTGGCTGTTTCTGTCAGCTTGACACAACATAGAATCACCTGGGAAGAAGAAACCTCAACTGAGGAATGCCTCTAGCAGACTGGCTTACCGGGATACCTGTAGTGCATTTTGTTGATTAGTGATGAGTGTGACATGGCCTAGCCCATTGTGGGTGGTTTCATGTCTGAACAGGAGGTCCTGGCATATATAAGAAAGCAAACTGAGGAACTCGTGGGGAGCAAGCCACCAGGCAGCATTCTGTCATGGGTGTGTTTCAGTTCCTACCTCCAAGTTCCTTCTCTGAGCTCCTCCACTGGCTTCCCTTGCTGATAGACTGGAACCTATAATGTGAACAAGCCTTTTCTTCCCCAAGTTGCTGTTAACCAGTGTTTATCACAGCAATAGGGAGGACACTATAACATCAGAAAAAGATATAAATAAATTAGAATTATTTCTTACCATAGAGGGAGTAAGATGTAATTTGAAATAACCAAATTCTATTTCATGTTCTCCCTTAGATATTTTCTTGTCAGGTCACATAGAGATGCAGAGAAAAAAAAAATTTGTATACTCCTAATGCATATAGTATTTGTTTGCCATCTTTATAAGAAGGAAACATGAATCAAGCATCTTAGTATTTGAGTATCATAGCATTTGAGCATCAAATACTATGCTTGGTGCTAATGTCATGCTAAGGAACTCAGTTATACCCTGAAGCAAAGAAGAAAAAGAAAAGTCCAATGAGGACGGGAAACAGCACACATTTGAAGTTTCATACAAGATGATGTATGGTTTAGATGCTGATGGAGAAAACTTCATCTAATAGTTACATTAGTAGTTGATAAAAGTAATTTTTAAGATTTCTCCTGTAATATTTTATATTGTGGGGGAGAGATGGTTTGATGGATAGAAGAAGAAAATCCGACAAGTAGATTACATTTCAGAAATATTTTTAAGGTGGCAGGAAACAAAAACCTTGGAATTTTCTTAAATATTGCATGACAATAAAGAACACATTATGCTGTGCTAGAGAGTTTGATTTTCTCTGAAAAAGAGAAGTAATACAGTAAAAACCTAAATTACATCAACAAATAATGAAGGAGACATAGTCCCAACTTACCATCTCTTGTCACCAAAGGAAATTTCTAATACTGGGATTGGTTTATATCTAATTAGGTTGTTGGCCAACAGGGGAATTCTCAAGCAACCCACACAATTGTGAAGACTACAAATTTTTCTCCACAAACTAATAACAATGCCTCCCGGCTGAAGCCAACACCTGCACAACTCATTGAACAGGAAGATATTCTGCATGCTGTTTAGAGAACTGTAAACTCCAAGCCAGGAAACCTTTGTCGACAATGGGGCAAGATATACTAAGGCAATGGTGGCACTAAACTTGTGGGATAATTAACCTATGACTGATTTGACTAAAACCTAGTCCAGTAGATGGAACCCTTACCAGATCCTGCTTCGGAGAAGGTAATTAAGAAGCTGAGACTAGATGGCCCATGGACCCATGGTAAACAAAAATATACTGATCTAAACAAACAAACAATGTAGTAATAAAATGTCTACTCATAGATCCTTGTTCAGCCACTGTCAGAGAAACTTTCTTCTGCAGCAGATCATGCAGATAGTGGGAGACCTTAGAACCCTCAGACATAAGTGGAATTTTTGCATTAAATTCCTCTTCTCAGAGCTCAGGAAACCCAATGGAAGCAGAGTAGGAAAGAGTGGTAAAGCCAGAGGTAAAGAAGCACCCCAAGAAAACAAGGGCCTCTAAATCAACATGAGAGAAGCTCATGTGAACTTAGAGTCTGAAGCTGCACGCCCAGAGCCTGTACAGTCTGTGCCAGCTCTCTGCTTCCTTTATAGCTTCTGTTTTACTGTTTTTATGGGATTCCTGAGTTTGTGAACTCGTCGGTCTCTGGTACTTGTGCTTTCCCTTGGGCTCCTTTCCTTCTGTTGATTTGATGTGATAGTTTTTGTTTTATTTTATAACATTTTATTTTGTTATATTTTATAAATAATGATGAAAACCTAGCCACTAGGGTAAAGGCTAACAACTAAATTGTCATTTACACATGCTTGGAGAAGGAAAATCACCTTTCTCCAATGGAGTGGCACTAAATATATAAATCTCTGCCTCATGTTCAGGGGTAGTTTACCAACATATACTGGCCTCCACAGTTGTTGTTGGTGGTGGTTTTTATATGCTTTTCTTTTGTTATAGTTTGGTGTTTTGCTATGTTTTATTTTGTTTGGTTTGGTTTGTTGGGGGTTTTTTTGTTATGTTTTCTTTTAATTTTTTTTTTTGGTTGGAGGGGCTGTTGTTCTATTGGTTTTTTATTTGTTTTTTGAGAAACAACTTAAAGTTGAGTTGGTAAGGAGGGGAAGGTTCAGATCAGGAAGAACTTTGGTGAGTGGAAGTATATTGAATAATATGATAAAAATATTTTTTAAAAATTTAAACATATGATAAAAATGGAAAAAGAATGAACAGATGACTAGTTGTTACACTGAAAAGAGGTGCCATTATTTCCTACTAAAATCTTTCTTATAAAAGAGAGAGGTGATAGACAAAGAAACCAACTTAGAGAACTTTGCATAGGGAGCAGTAGCTTCTAATGGTGCTGGAGAAGGAGCTGAGAGTTCTACATCTGGATCTAAAGGCAGCAAAAGTGACTGAGATATACTTTCTCCAACGAGGACACACCTACTCTATCAAAGCTACACTTACTCCAAAAAGGCCACAACTCCTAATATTGCCACTCTTGTTGGCCTATGGGGCCAATTTTTTATTCAAACCACTGCATGCTTATTAGAGACGATCAAGTCAGAAATATTAAGGAAGCAAATAATTTTTTTTAAAAAGCTCTAGATTTGGCTCAGTGAGTAGATACTAGGGCACTGAAGGGTTGACTGTCTGTTAGGGCAATGGAGAATGATGACTGGAGGTCTGGGAAAGAATGCGGAAGGAATGGGTCGCTGCCAAGGCCACAGACAATGCAGATCTGTTCTGAGATCCTGGTCAGGTATAAGCTGTATTCATGAGTAGAAGTTTTGAAAACAGAATTCTGCAATGGGTGGTTGTTTCTGAAAACTAGTACCATAGTACTACAGGCACCATGGATGAGGATGTAGATGCTGAATATGCTTTGACATTGAGAATATCAGCGCTGCAATCATTCCTAATGAAAAGGACATCAATGAGCACATCATTGAGGATGAGTGTGTAGCATGGCCATGGTTTATAATTGATATCCACAGAGGAGGACTGATAAAACAGATTCCTGATAAAACAGGGCCAGACAAAAGGGGAGGAGGTCCTCCCCATTCCATGGACTTGGAAAGGGGCAGAGAGGGAGAAGCTGAGAGAGGGAGGGTAGGATTGGGAGGGAATGAGGGAGCGGGATACAGCTGGGATACAGAGTTAATAAAATGTAACTAATAATAACAAACAATAAAAAAATTATAAAATAAAAAAGAATTTATATTTAATTATAGCAAGATAGCAAAAACTATCTCTGGTTGAGTATAATTAATTTTCTTACATTAATTTATATACCCGGAAAAGATGTTAAGAATTAAGAATAATGCCCCTGTTTCTTATTAAAAACCACAATATTGAAAAATAAGTACCAAAAAGAAAACTTTTAACTTCTGTTTAAAAAAATCATATATATGGAGAAATAACATGATGTGTACAGCACAGTACATTTTGGATACATAAGACTTTTTTTGTTTTGTTTTTCAACTTAGAGGTACTATAAGAAATGTCACATCTTAGAAAATCTGAGTTTCATTAGGTACATTCATTTATTTCCCTGTGTGAAGATGACTTTTTTTGTCGAGCAGAGTAAGAGAGCTAAGCATGTTCTCCCTTCTCTTTGATGTCTTTTAGGATGCAATGAAAGATGAATGTTCGATGCTGAAGCTGCAACTGAGAGACAGGGATGAGCTCATATCTCAGCTTCAAGCAGAGCTGGTAAGTGATGGGCTAACCCACTTACTTACTTTTCAGGGTTATTGACTGTAAACCGTTACCTATTGACAGTGATATTATTATTCATGTTTGATAAATGATACAATGAATGTTGATTTTATCATCCTTTAGTCATGAAAGGTGTAATTCTTTGACAACAGGAAGAAAGTAATGATGTTTTGCATATACAGTAATTTACATACAATTAGAAAATGGTGCAATCTTTTAGTTGTATCTGTAAGAATAAGGGCTAAGGCCACATGACATTTTGTGTGCTGTGTGATTCTCTTCTGTGCTGGATGCCTAAAGAGAAAGCTTGGGAAAGCATTTTTATTCTCTTTTTTTCATTTATTACTCTTGCAAACCAGGTGAGATTTACTTCTATGTTCGTGATCACCAAATGTAGCCTTTGTCAAGACCTTGTAGATTTCCAATTAATACATAACTCTCACAAAATAAAAATTATCTATAGTTTATATTTTGGGGTGAGGTTATCATAAAAGAATATAAGGAATCAAATATTTAGAACATGATAGTGTATTTGCTATGTAGAAAGGAAATTGGAATTATTTTTCTAGTTGTTTCAACTTATATATATTATGAGAAGCAGTTTAAAATGAATATCAGTACTCTAGATATAAATAAAAATAGTAAAATAAGAATAAAAGAGAGAATGTTAATTCACCAATAGTTCTCAAGATAGCAGCAAAATAAATAAAACAGTAGAGAACCCTTTGACATATTATCAGTGTCTCAAAATAAGCCCTAGCTAAAAACATACTTTAAGATAATTTAGCAGTTTATCAATGTTGAGGTATTATGTAACTATAAAATGCAAGTTAGTTGCATAACTGAGTTCCCAGACCAACACAGCAGTACCCACTTGGTAATTACAGTGTCATATTCATACCAAATTTTATGTAGTCTAAAGAGCTGGCAATGTGTTTGCTGAAACTTGACCCTCATTGACAAAATGGGTTGACAGTCCCAGGCATGTTATTATGACTTCAAAAACTTCTAACCTACTACTTAAAAATAGAGGACCATTCATAGACAAGAGAAGTGTTTTCTGAACTATAAGAAATAGCCAGTTACAAAAGGATCAGGAGCATATTAGTAATACAGACAATATCTATTACATGATGAAAAGTTGTATTTGCAATGTATTCCTCTAGTCAGTGGTTCTCAACTTTCCTATTGCTATGACAGCTAGTAGTTAGGCAGCCTGTTTCTGTGTTGCCTAGCAACCTATGATGTCATTATGTGTCTTCCACCAGGTAGCCACACCTGCTAGGCATGGTTAAGTTGATCCTTGAAAGGAGCAATCTGCCACTTTGTCTCTCTCTTGCCCCCTTGCCTCTTGCCCTCTTATTCTCTTACTCTCTTACTCTCTCCTGCTCTCTCCCCTTTCTCTGTCGGGGCACCCCTCCCTTCCCCATATCATGTCTCACTCTCTCCTTCTGTCTCTCTTCATCTCCATCTAATAAACCTCCTTCTTATAAAATCTGTTGTGCACATCATCATTTCATCGGTCCTAACAATGACCCTTTCATACACTTTTTCATGTTGTATTGACCCTCCCACATAAAATTTTTAAGAGTGTAATTTTGCTACTGCTATGAATCATACTACAAATATTTAATATGCAGGATATCTGATATGCTATTCCTGTGGCATAGCCTGTGACTGAGAAATCCTGCTTTGGGTATATATTGTAACCAAGTTTTGTTTCCACGAAATTAAAAAAAATCTTTTTATTTAATAAATATCAAGTACAGATTCTTATTATCAAATGGAATAATCAATCTTAAATAGCAGAGTATCTTTAATTCACTTTGCCAGGGAGAACTTATTTCAATAATTAACTCAGGAAAAGATTGCTCATTTTTCTTTGTACCATATATTTGATTGGATTTAAAACACAGAATATATAAGAAACTTTGGGGTTTTTTTTGTTCATTGAAATGAGAATGAAAACCATTGCCTTCAGAGCCAATTCTACAGCTACAATTACAGTAATTCAGTGCCACTCCCTCCAAGAAAGGATTATATTTCCTGACATCCTAAAATGACATGCTCATGGGCTTTGAGCACTTTCTTTTCTTTAAACTTGAATTGTCCAAATTGACTACTTACTCTTGAAATTTTCCAAAGTAATAATCAAGGCACCATTTCAACGTCTGTGCTGCAGTTTGCATAAACATGTTGAATGTCTTGACAAAAGAAAGATATTACCTTTTGCACTGAAGTTTGTTTTGGTAAAGATGACATTTGTTAAGGAAGAAGGTGTGATGATTTAAGCAAAACGAAATGTTCAACAGAGAAACAGTTATAACTAGAGCTGAAGAAAACATGAGGTACACAGGTATATAGGATTCTACAAATTGCTACAATCAATGGGCAATATTGGCCAAAGTGATTCTGGTGCTAAGAATAAGCAAATGGGTTTATGTCCAGGAGTGATATAGCTGGGTCTTGAGGTAGAAGTATTCTCAATTTTCTGAGAAAGCACCAGATTGATTTCTGGAGAGGTTGTACAATTTGCACTCCCACCACCAATGGAGGAGTATTCTCCTTTCTAAACATCCTTGCCAGCATGTGTTGTCGCTTGAGTTTTTAATCTTAGCCATTCTGACTGGTGTAAGCTGGAACTCCACCATACAACGAAGGACATTTGCTCAACTATGTTCATAGTAGCTTTATTTGTAGTAGCCAGAAACTGGATACAACCTAGATATCCCTCAATGAAAGAATGGATAAAGAAATTGTGGCACACTTACGCAATGGAATACTACTAAGCTATTAAAAATAAAGAAATCATGAAATTTGCAGACAAATGGATGGAACTAGAAAAGATGATCCTGAGTGAGATAACCTAGACCCAGAGTGACACACTTGACAGGAACTCAACATGACTTCCTCTGGGAGGCTCCACCCAGCAGCCAATCAAGACAGATACTGGGGCTTGCAGCCAAGCATGGAGCAGAGCTCTGGTGTTCCTGTGGAAGTGTTGGGGGAAAGATGGAAGGAACCTTACAAGAAGGCGAACAGAGACAACAAAGCCAGACCCATGGGGGCTACAGAAACTGAGACATCAACTAAGGAGCATAGATGGTAGAGATCTAGGCCCCCAGCACATATGTGGCCAATGGCTGTCTTGGTCTTCATGTAGGCTGCCTGGAGAGTAGAAGGGTGGAGGGCTATTTCTAACATGAACTCTATTGCCTGTTCTTGAATCACTTCCCCCCGGCATGGCTGACTTGCCTGGCCTCAGTGGATAAAATATGCTCAGTAGTGATGTGACTTGATGTGCTGGGGAGGGTTGATATTGGGGGAGTTTTTTCCCTTTTCTGAGGGAAAATGGAGATGAGAAGGAGGAAGAGGTGGGAGGGTTCATCCTTGGGATGCAAAGTAAACAAATAAAAGACAAATAAAAAAAGAATAAGCAACTGCTTTTGTTTTTAGTTTGCGTTTGTTTGTTGGAGATATGCTTTCACTCTCCGTCTCACTTAGGCTTAAAACTTACTATATATCCATGGAGACCTTGAATTCATGTGAGTCTCATGCTTTAGTCTCCCAAGAACAGACATTACAGGTGTTAGTCACTATAGCAGGCTAATTTGTGACGGCTTGACAAAACAGATTTAAAGTTTGGAAACCAGTTTGAACTTATCAATATATTACAAAACTTGCCTCTTTTTCCTGCATCTTTCTAACAGCCATCTTTCCAAAGTCTTCTCACCAATGCTGTTGTCATGCTTTGGTGGTTGATTGTCCTGTGTGTGATAGGGTTTCAACAGCATCTTCCACTTTCTCAATAGATGTCAGGAGCCGCCTACATGTGTTACTAGATGTCTGATGTATCCAAAACTGTCCTCATCTGAGCACAATTGTGTTAAAGGTACCATAGTAATTTTCTGTCTGTCAGAGAAATTATGTAAGATAAACAAATGCATGCAGATACCCAAGGACCTGGAATTCTGCAAAAGAGATAAGACCTTTCCTTATATATGTCAGAGTTAAGTGTGAGAAAGCTAATTTCTCACAGTGCTGTCTGATCAGGGGTCTGAGGTTGGAGAACCAGCTTGAGTGGGTGCCAGTGAGAAAGGTCCCTGGTTGATGGCTGGCCGTCTTCTCACTGTGCGCGCAGGGAGAGGAGAATAGCAAGCTCTGTGCTCTCTCCGTTTAGTCCATCTGAAGGCCCCACCTATGATGTCAGCTACCTACAGCCACCTCTCAATATTCTCTTTTCCAGGGGGACTTTCTGTGTGATTGCAGGAGGGCACAGTTCTGACAGGAGTACCTAGGTTGTACTCCTATTTGTTTATTTTTCATTCATCAAACAGCATTGCAGTCATTAAGTTCTACGAGGTATTTCATAAAGTATTCTCTTTTTTTCTTCCCCATGATTTCAGAAGCATTACCATAACTCAACACTCTTTGCTTCCTGAGTAGGCAGACTTTATAAAGCATGAAGATGCTGCAAAATTCAAAATAATCATTTGATTTTATGTTATACATTCATACTCTTTGAGAAAAGCATCTCACTTATTCACTGGATTCCTAATGTGAGTATATTTTTTTTCAAACTTTCAATTTCTCCCTTTCTGTGTAAATGTAAAACGGAAGGCAATAGGTAATTAGTTCTCTCAGGAATAATATCAAGAGGTCTGATATCAACGCTTATGAAATTTTCATGCATTACTTACTTTTATGAGCTTTATTGGTTTTTGACAGATAAAAGTAATGATTTACACAGTTTTATGATGTCCAAGGGAACTTTAAATGGTACAGTATCAGCTTTTACTGAGGTTATGTACATCATAGGGCAACTAATTGGAAGGAAAAAAGGAGTTAACACTGTGGCCCCTTGTGCACAGCAGAAAGGGACTATGTAGCAGTGGGAGCATCTCCTCCCCGCTGTTTCACCCCACAGCAGAGCTGTCATGTGCTGCCAGAAGCACATCAAAGGGTGAAGGGCAAGGCTGTCAGTCCATTCAGGC